CTTCAGAAATCATTCTAATATGCTGATTTGCTGCTCAGAAAACATATTGTGTTGAAAACAGTTGGGCTGCTTAATATTTTTGTGGAAATATGATACTTTTTTCAGTATTCTTTGATGTATAGAACGTTCAAAAGAATATAATTTATTTTATTTTTTATTCACGTTTGATCAATTAAATTCATCCTTGCTGAATAAAAGTATTATTATTTTGAGTGGTAGTTACTGTAATTGTCTTGCTAGTCCCCATAGTTTAGTTGAAGTTACAATGTACCAAATGTTTTATAAGCGGGTCTGATTATGATTGAAGAAAGTAATTTTTGCTAGTAGTGACGTGACATGTGGCCAAGTATGGTGACCCGGTACTTGGAATTAGTGCTCTGCATTTAACCCATCCGAAGTGCACACACACAGCAGTGAACACACACACACCGTGAACACACACCCGGAGCAGTGAGCAGCCATTTTTGCTGCGGCGCCCGGGGAGCAGTTGGGGGTTCGGTGCCTTGCTCAAGGGCACCTCAGTCATGGTATTGAAGGTGGGAGAGAGTGCTGTACATTCCCTCCCCCACCTACAATCCCTGCCGGTACGAGACTCGAACCCGCAACCTTTGGGTTACGAGTCCAACTCTCTAACCATTAGTTATATAGTTAGTTATGCTAAAAGTTGAGTATTTGCATATGCATATAAGTTTAGTACATATTTTTGTTAAGTCTAGTGGTAACATTTTCAGTGTTTTGGGGTTCTGTTTTTATTAAATACTAAAATACTACAAAAGTTCATCAGTGGATGTATATCAAAGATATTTGTTAACTGATGAGGTTTTCATTGGGTGATTCTTAAAGGGATAGTACTCCTTCAGTTGCTGGTCCCCATTGAATTCCATAGTGTTTTTTTTCTTCTTCTTCTTCTTCTCCATACTATGAAAGTCAGTGTGGACCAGCAACTGAAGGTGAACTATCTCTTTAAACCAGTGGTTCCCAACCCTGGTCCTGGAGGCACCCCAAAACTGCACATTTTGCATGTCTCCTTTCTCTGACACACCAATTTCAGGTTTCAGGTTCAGAGCTGATGATCTGAATCAGGTGTGTTTCATTAAGGAGACATGCAAAACATGCAGTGTTGGGGTGCCACCAGGACCAGGGTTATGGAACCACTGCTTTAAACCATCAATGGCCCCAGTCCATCCCTGACTGTGGATATTGCGTACCACTGCCATCTGGTGGTTAGAAGCTGTATTGTTCCATATAACTGGATAGCTTGGATTTACTGAACTAGAGGCTTCTCAGTTAGGAATATGAGTGGCATGACCAGAGGAAGAGAAATCAGTGAAGAAAACTAATTTGTGCTTTAAGCCTCTTTCATATATAGAGCTCTCTCTCATGTGTCAAGTTTCAGTACATGTATGCGCAAATGCATTCTGGGAGAAATGAGTGGCGAGAAATCCCGGCAGCCCTTTATCCTTCTTTAAGTAAAGTCACCTTTATTTATATAGCGCTTTATACAATACAGATTGTGTCAAAGCAGCTTTACAGTGTTAAACAGGAAAAATGTGTGCTGATAATGTGAGAGGACAATAGAAAACAGTTATTTTATCAGATCATTGTTGATTCAGTGATGTCATCGTCCAGCTCAGTTCAGTTCTCTCCCAGTAGTGTCTGTGCAGTCAAGTCAACAATGTTGCCAGAAATTGTGTTCCCAACCAAGCAAGCCAAAGGCGACAGTGGCAAGGAACCAAAACTCCATGGGTGACAGAAATGGAGAAAAAAATCCTTGGGAGAAACCAGGCTCAGTCGGGGGGCCAGTTCTCCTCTGGCCAGATGAAACCAGCATGGTGTGGTTTAATTCCAGGCTGCAGCACACATCAGATTGAACAGATTGAGCTGACAAGGTCTTCACAGAGGATCTGTCTCAAGGGTTTGTCTAGTTGACATGGTCTCTGCTGACATTCAGGGCTGTAGAGATCGTCTCTAGGTGCTGATCCACCATCTAGACTGGATACGGACTGGATCCAGGTGACTTGTACTGCTTTTCCACTGGGGCTGGTGCCAGAGCTGAAACCAGTGCTCGGCCAAGACTGGCACTCGTTCAGAACCGGCTCATGTTTCCACCAACCTGTGACCGGAATCGCTTGTTATCTCTTGCGGAAGAAGAGTGTTGATCTCTTCTGCTGACCACTGCTGAACTGATATATTTAATTGTTGTTGTTAATGTTATTAATTTACCCGAACTCCGACGGCTTTTAAATATAGGCTTGTTCGAGATGCATCGGCATCCCAATTGAGCTCCGGCTCTGGACCAGCCTCGGTGGAAAAGCGGTATTAGAGGTCTGCACGGACTTTAAACTGAAGCCCGAACCCGGCCCGTACCCAAGATCGTCTGACCCGACCCGAGCGGCACTGTTAAATTTAGAGCCCAAATCCGAAATTGATTTTTCAAAAAGAATAGACAGACTTTTTAAATATGCTGTATTTCATGATTGCATGCAACGGTCAGACAAATACATGAAAAGAAACAGATTAATCAAGGCTCACAGACAGTTCAGCACACAATTTTCAGTTATGAAACTTCTGCCGAGTTTTTTAATGGTTGTAACGACAAGATCATAATTCTTCCACTATGCAAAATAAGTTTTCCTAATTGCTGTATCGCAATCATTGCTCACAACTTGCTAGCTAATGTGCACGTGCCATTTGTCGTGCTGTGACAGAGAGGCCGCTAGAGCAGGCACAAGAGCAAAACAAGTTAAAAAAAAATTGCCTATACACGCACACGTTATAAGGAATAATCCACAGCTAGCAAGTGCCTTAAAAGATTTTTCTGTACGACTGACGAGAGGCAAAGTTTAAAAATTACGGTAATTTTCATCAGTTATAGTTTGTTAGCATTCTGCCTGATTTAAATCAGACACAGAGATGAAGTAGTTACGGTAAGATCACATTTATTTGAAATAATTAATTATATCATTTATTTGAATTAATTAGCAAGAGAGGGGGGTGTAAGTTGCGTGTGTGAATTACCTGTGTCTGCACGTCTTTTTCTACAAGCAATGAAGCTTAGTTACTTCAAAAACAGAGATTTTACCACCTCATTGCTGAGAAATATAATGCAGTGGGTCAGTATAGAGCTCTGAAGAGCTAAACCATTCAGGTTATTACCATAAGTAATTAGCAAGAATTTAAAATGTATATGATGTTTAATAGGGAGCCAGTGCAGTGTTGACAGAACCGGGATAATATGGTCGTACTTCCTGCTTCTAGTAAGAACTCTAGTTGCTGCATTTTGGACCAGCTGGAGTTAGTTTATTAAGTGCTTGATGCTAGAATAAAACAGATTTTTCTTTTTGTTTAAAAGTAGAGGCTCTCTTCTTTTTTTTGATGTATTGCATGTTCAGATATTCATAAAACAAAATATTCTAGGGGCCATGAAACTTTTGTGAAAATCATCAAAAATGCTGGCGGTGGCTGGCAACACTTTTCAAAAATGCTAATGGGAAAGAGTTAATTATGATAGAGGAGAGAACTAAGCATTCAAACATCTGCTTGCACTTTAAGCCTGTGGCTGTGATATTAAGTTTATTTCGATTTTGGCTTCTAAAGATTATAAAAAAGAAGATATGAGGTAAAACTATTAAAAACTAGCCACGTGTCATCTAGTGGAACTCGCATTTGTTCCACCCTAAAACAAGCACAATTTGTGATTGTTGTCAAATGCTGTCTTTACTAGGTGCTCCGATTGATCGGCTACCGATCACTATCGGCCGATAATCGCATTAGGATGTTTGATCGGCGGTCTCTAAAAAGGCCGATCTCATAAACCGATCTCAAGCTTATGACGTGCCTGCCGTCAGAGGTTTGGCATGTCAGTCAGTTTGGTCAGTCTCTGTCCAGCGCGGCTTAAATAATTATAATGTGAGGTACAATTCATATTTCTTCATTAAATAACCTATAAAGTCATTTGAAAACTTCTGTGAGACGTAATTTCACAAACCGCGTTAGTGAATCACTGCATGCGTTCTCGTTCTCTCTCAAAATGCGCAAATGGCTTCAAATCACATTCCGTCTGCATTAAGAGAGCTGCACGCAGCACAGTTGACACAGGAATTGTCACTTGTACAATTGAGGCATTGTCGCGTCATCACTAAAGTTTATAAATTGCATTTCTTTCTAATTCCTGCCAGTGTTTAAACCATTCAGCTTCTCGCACGCTCTCCAGCACACTTGCGTGTGTGTATGCGTACGTGGTGCATTTATTTTTCCGCGCTCATGTTAACGGATAAAGCATTCACACTGCACACAGTTGCGGTCCGGCAGTGCGTTCCAGGAGCGGTGCGTCTGCAGCAGTGCAGAGATCGTTTTCACTGCAGACGCTGAATTAAAGTGACAGCGCATTGTTTGCGGTAAATATGAACATGAATTGACACGAAAATTGAGTAATTACACCATAAATGCATATAATTAAAGTCTACTGTGTTTCACAGTCAACACATAGGCTATGGCTTTTTGGCTAGGTTTAAAGGAAAAGAGCACTTTTAGATAAACAAGGCAATAATAGATGGCACTCGTGGAGGTAGGAAAACAAAGTTCTTTATGAACCGCAGGATTGCTGGTAATAAAGAATTAAATGCAAAAGAAAAGGCAGTAAAGCTGACTGTTTCTGTCAATGGTAAGTTTTAATTTAGAATGTTTGTGATAATGTAAGAAAAGTAGTTTAAATGTTTTGCCACTTGCTTGAGCAACTAAATATATAAAAAATTATATATAAAAGTAAAAAGCATTGAATAATGTGGTTCTTATATTTATTGCGTTTAAACAAGTCTATGAAAGATTGTATTAGCTACTGCACTGTGTAAAAAAAGAATCACAATGCTGAAAAAGCATTTTCAGTAACAATGTTTGGATTTGAAATCAAAATAATGGATAAATGTGTTTGTGGTAAACAGCCACGGATCAGTTGCAGACTCCTGTTTGAAAGCTGCTTCTGCACCACTTATGTACCGCACATGGACTGCATACGCACTGCAAATGGAGTATGTGTTGCTGTGTGTGTGCAACAATTGCACGATTGTCAAAACAAAAATGCAGTGCATAATCAAACATTTAGGAGATAAATATATAAATATATATAATGTCTAAAAAAA